TTCAGAGGCGATGATCATTGTGCATGCAGTGGCCAATGGGCACGTAACGTGTGGCCATCAATAAAATTGTCAAATTGGCAAACCGAATGCCGTGCTTAGAATACTCAAATGGGATATTTGAACTTACATTTTGCGTGGGCGTGACTTTGTATCTGTATGTGTGTGTGTGTGTGTGTGTGTGTGTGTGTGTGTGTGGGAGAGTGAAACAATTAAATGCAAATTTCTTTTCTTCTGCTCTTCTGCTTCTCTCTCTCTCTGTCATTCTCTCTCTGGCATGTTCTCTCTGAGAGAAACAAAAGACTCTGGCAACGAACTTGAATTAGAATGATTAGGGCCATGCCATGGCACAGGTCAGCAGATCAACAGATCAGACCAAGCCGCTCTCCGCGTGCGCTAATGCCACATATTATCGGTTTCTCGCATCAGATATAGCATGTCATCTCTCCAGTGTTTGTATACCTTGTAAAATCCCAAAATTAAAGGGTAGACACTACGCTCTGCGATCGTATAAGAGAAATCATTAATGAAACGCCATTCAGGGAGGAATGTGCAGGCACAGATACCCCATAACTTTCAGTTCACAAAACAAAAAAGATAGGCAGACAAAGGTCTGTTCATATTTAGCGGGTATTTTCTAGTCGGAGTCTCGCTTGGATCGGATCGGATCGGAGCGTTCTTTCTGGCCGGGTCTCTGGTCCAAATGAGCTGTGCGGTTGCTCCATTAAGGTGACACAATCAGCGCCGGTGACTTGTCCAGCGCAGACGGAGGTGGCCTGATCTACTTGAGGCTGCGACTGAGGCAGAGGCTGCCCTCTCTGCTGGCTGCCTCAATTGCTATATTTTTCCTTTGGTTTTTCATTTTTCTGTACGCTTTTTCTCTTTGTTTCTGCAATGTTTATGCTGCTTGCTGTCACACAGTCGTTGGCGGTGGCGGTGGCGGTGGTGGCGGTGGCTTATGTAAGCTCTGAATTCTCTCTGCTCCACTCTGGACATCCAATTCCACTCGGCTGTGATGGTTGTTGCTTCTGTTGTTGCATTCATCATCGTCATTAGTGTCCGAAAATGAAATGATTGCAAATATCAAAAACGCAACAAAAGAGCTCTCCACTTGTCAGAGGAGCGGCAGCCAGCAGCTGGCATCCAGGGGGTATGTGGTAGCTACTATGTTGTATATAGAAAACGTTGCTCATGTTGGCGCAGACAAAAGACAAGTTTTTTACTTTCGTTTCATGTAAGCCCTCGCGCAGACACATTTCACTTTGCCCCATCTGGAGTCTCTGCCTCTTTTTGCAATCAGTTTGCTGACGCGATGCACTGGGGAATGGGATAGCCATCCCTGCCACGGGGCTGAGGGCTGGTGGCTGTGGGCCGTGGGCTTGGGCCTGGCCAGTGAGCCCGCCCTGCCTCCCAAACCTGTGCCGCCCCAAGTGCAGTCAGTTACTTTCTGTGGGCGCTCATTGCGCAATCATAACTACACCTGCTTCACCGCCCCCTACCAACGCTTACCTCTTTCCACTTGGTTCGGAAACGGTCGGTTTGGCAACCCACCAACCCACCAGCTATCCAAAAACCACCAAAGGAGGAAAGGAAAGGAAAGCAAAGAAAAGAAAGGAAAGGGAATACATAGAGGAATGTTATCTAACGCTTTGGAGAGATATGCAATCAGGCCATGCAAGATTCCGCTGGATCATCGAAAGCATAGATCATGAACTAGAATTGCAAACGATGGAAAAACTCGCAGGTACATGGAAGCAAGTATTATTTATGCTTCATTTATGTCTGCTTGCAGTCCGTTTAATGGTCAACTGATTTGCCCTCGTACCTCTACCACATATCGGAATTGGTTCTTCTTTTGCTTGGCTTTCATAATCATATCTCTGGAAGCTTTGGACGTCCCCACAATCATTCAGATAATTCAGTTCCTATTCTGCTGCAGTTGCATTTTGGGTCAATATTTGAATATTTGGACACTTTTTGAATGAATATTTGACATCATCATCATCATCAGAATCTCTTCAGCAGATCCGAACTAAATCAACGCTTTGATAAATTGATCCAGCGCACTGAAAGACGAGCCAATCTGACAGCATTGCGCCTGGAACAATTGATTTCGGGACAAAGAATACTTATAAAAGCATTTCCTTCCAACTGGAGCATTTCTTCGGGCTATGCCCCGCGGCTGGATGGGAATGTGGATGGGGGAACAATTACTGGATGAAGGGAGCCCAACGGCAGCAGCAGCGGCAGCAGCAGCGGCTCATAACATTAATCTCGAGAGGCATGAGCTGGAAATTAAAAATAATAAAGCACTAAATGGAAAATGAAGCGAGGCTAAAACGGGATGGGACGGGTATAGATAGGATTGGATGGGATGGGATGGGATGGGATGAGATGGAGTGGAATGGCGTAAAATGGGTTGGGTTGGGTTGGTTGGGTTTGGATGGAATTGGATGGGCTGGCTGCTAAAGGGGGGGCGGGGGCTCTGTTAGAACAGAAGCAACAGCAGAGAGAAGTGCCAGCAGATGCAGCAATTTGCTTTGCTTGGCTGCGTCCCCAATTCTCTCAGCTCTCGCTGTCTCTCTCTTGGAGCCCCTCTCTGGGGGGGGGTTGCGTGTGCCTGCGCGGCTGAGTTGATTTCCTTGTTTTGGTGTGGTCACTCCACAGTGGTCAGTGGTGGGCGTCGTTGGCGGAGGAGTCCGCACGTGGCCGTTGTGGCCAGTTGTACGAGTACTTGCTGCCGATCTGCCGATCTGCCGATCTGGCGATCTGCCGCCTGTCTGCCCAACAAAGCGGAACAATGGGCGCGACCGGCAGATAGCAGCTTCAAGAGTAAGCCCAGCCATCAGCCATCGAGCATCGGGCATCAGCCACCCCATCCTAAGCCACCAGCAGACCAGAGAGCCAGCAGCCGAGCAGCAGGCAGCGGCAGCCACTTGCACCAGCGATTTTCCAATTAAATGTTGCCACAGACAAGCAACCTGTTGTTGTTAGCTAACCGTTTGAGTGGGGCACAGAGGAAGAGGAAGCCCAACAGCGAGAGAGAGAGAGAGAGAGAAAGATTGAAATTCGCCAAGCGAATATCGAACATTGATCGATCAATCCATGAACTCGAAACTTGTGACATGACTGAACATATTTCACAGGCCAGGCCCGCAAGGCCATCGCCAGCGGTGCAGCATCGTCGCCACTTGGCGATACGAATTGATGGATACCCCGCATCTCGCCCCTCGCCCCTGTATTGCCAGCATTCGTAGGTCTGCCGGAACACAATATTCTGCCTTTGGTTCTTCATTAGCTGATCGCTGGCCATAATCCCACATCTCAATGATAATAATGATGATGATTATTATTAGCATATGTCTGCACCATTTGGACTGTGCCCCACATGTGTACACACACACACACACAGCAAGAGACAAAAAGCGTGTGTGTGTGTGTGTGTGGGGTGGGGGGGGGGGAATGGAATTCGTTGTCTAGATGGACTGCATTTGCATCCCCGCCGATATTGAGGCTGCTCCAATTTACTGACCATTTGGCTTACTTCTGCCATTTCCCATTTCCCATTCCCCATTTTCCCCCTCCCTGTTCGTGTGGCATACAAATGCTGAAACAATGTGCAACGTTGTGGCTGATCTGATGCTGCTGCTGCTGCTGCTGGTCGCAGTTTTTGCGCCGTCCAGGTCCAGATCCCAGGTCCCACGTCCCGTCCCCCTGTCCAGCATAAAGCAAGTAATCCAAGTCCCCAGTCAAACTAGAGGAATTCTTCTAAATTGGTCCAATCGGAAAGAGATGGGGGATAGTGAGAGAGACGCACAAAGTTACAGTTGCATAACCTGTATTAGTTGTTATTACCGTTTTAGAGTATATGAAGATGAAGATGAGATGATGATGAGCCCAAAGCTCCGCCATTGATCAGCACGCCCTGCCCTGCCTGCCCTGAGGGGCGGCAGAACGGAGCGTGCAGAGACTAAGCAGCGGCAGCGGCAGAGCCAGAGACAGCGGCAGAGCTTGGCACTTGCCAAAAGTGCAGCAGCAGCACAGCAGCCAGCAGCAAGTGCTGCTCGGCCAACCCAACACGCATGCAGCTCCCCTACCACCCCACCATATGTATGCTACATACCTGCCACAGCAAGCAGCAAGCAGCAACAGCGGCAGCAGCAGCAGCAGAAGCAGCAACAGCAACAGCAGCAGCGACAGCAGGCCAGCAGCAGCTTACAAGCGGCTTACAAGACGCACAGCGCGACGACACAAACTTTCAGTTGCTTTCGAGCTGCACAAGGCGACAGACGGTTTGACTTCTTCGACTCCAGCACCGCCAAACATAAAAACAAAGCAAACGAGACTTGCAGAGAGAGAGCGAGCTCGCAAAAGAGAGAGAGAGAGAAAGAGCAGCGCAAAGCAGCGCACGGCGAACGTGAAAAGTGAAAGAAACGCCAAGCAGCCAAACGAAAGACTCTTGAGTTCTTCAGCAGAGCTTCCAGCGAACGGTTCATGCAGCGGACGATAAACGCGCCGCGTAATCCAACAGAAACATTCCGTTTTTTTTTTTTTTACGTTATTTTGTTAAGTTTTTGACCGTGTGTCTTCCTCCTCTAACGGTGTGGTGTGGTGCTATCGTATCGGTGTGTGCTCAAACTTTCGGCATTCATCTCTCTCCTCGGGGTGTCTGTTTGTGTCTGTGTGTGTGTGTGTGTGTGTGCGCTTTTTTGTTTTTGTTTTTGTGTGTTTTGGCTGTGGCTCGCTGTGGCACAATCAGAAGAAGGATAGAACCAGTTGCCACCACCAGTTGGGTGGCTGACACACATTTTGACCAGGCCAAAAGCACCTGTTGGCATGTGGAACCCTGCACAACATTAAAAAACTTGCAGCAAGTGCTAGAAAACTACAAGATTCAACAAAAAGTGCAATAAATCGAGTACCAAAATCAACAACAACAACGCACAACAGCAGCAACCAGAAGAATAATCAACCGAAACGGGAGGGAGTGAGAGAGAGAGAGAGAGAGAGAGAGAGCGCGCGCAAGATCTGATCTGATCCATCCCCCGGCAGCAGGTGTGAGCGAGAGAGAGCAAACAATGCAGCGAACGCAGTGGCAGCTGCTTCTGCCGCTGGCTCTAGCGGTGGTGGCGGCGGCGTCGACTTTGGCGCAGGCGCAGAATATAGGTGAGTGTGTCAAGCGAAAGACTAAAAAAGAACCAGAGAGAGAAATTCTGTGCGAAAATGAATACACCAAAGAGTGTATACTCTGCCCCCGTGAGGCGTGACTCTCTGTCGAGGATGAGATTTCGCATATCTAGCTTCCTATCTACATACACAAGTCAAATGACGCTTAGTATCTTTTGACAATGAAGTGGCTGTGTCTCAGCGATATATTCACAAGATTACGGGCGGCACTTCGGTAACTCTCATGGTGCTTAGGCTCCGATGACCTTTCCATGCGTTGGCTGTTCTTCACCGCCATTCGACTCGGACTCCATGCACAGCCCTGACATGTGGGAACCACACAACATGTGAAGCTCTTTATGCATTGTTAGCTAAATATCTTCGGACTTCATTTGGGATTCAATATCTTCAAAGGTCCCACAATGCTTTGCATAGATCAGTTATCGGGCAAGCCCACCCCACCCATGGCATACCCCGTTCTCAGGGTAAGGGTATCCAACGGCGCACAGAGCCCCAGAGCAAACGAATATTTTCTCTCGTTCTTGTTAGCTGCTGCTGATGATCCGATCCCACTTGCCACTGCCCCTGCCCCTGCCGCTCTTGTTGCTGGGGCACCATTTTCATCACTCACCCATTTTCGTGTGTGTGTGTGTGTGAACACACCTAAAAAAGAAATTAATTTGTTGCTTCGCATTTAATTTTTATTATTTTTGCATACACATTTTTTGTTGGTTTTTTGATTTCCGGTTCTGGTTCGAAACAAAAGCAACCAACAACGAGACTCATGAATTATGTTTCTTGTCCAGTGACTTTGGCATTTTTCCCACGCCAATAAACAACAAAAATAAAATACAAGCCGAAAAGAGCATTCAATGCTCAGTGGTCTCCAGTCGGCAGTCCCCACTCCGAAGTCCCCAGTCTAGTCCCCAATCCCCAGTCCAGTCCCAGTTCCACTTTAAGTTCCAGTTTCAGCGACAAGTCAAGTGCTTGGGCGCTGGTTAATTATTTCGTGGGATATGCGGCAAAAAGCAAGTGAAGCTGAGTGGGAGGGGGGGGAGGGTGGTGTGAAGAATAAGCGTGTGGGGTGTGGCATTTGCCAGGAAACGGATGTTTGTTTGGGTCACCACACACAGACACAAACGGGGAGGAGTGACAGCTGGGACTGTGACTGTGACTGGGACTGGGACGGGGCAACGAAATGTGGCACACGAAAGACTTGAGCAACAAACTTGCCCCTACACGTGTCGGCAGCCAGCCGTGTGGAAAGGAGACTGCAAAAGGCGACCTGCAACTTGTTTTGGCATTCAATTACGAGTGCCGCCTGCACGTGGCCGAGTATCGGATGGCGCAGACCCAACAGGTGCCGGAAGCCCCGGGACACCAAAAAGGGCACAAACAGATGGGCCAAAAAATATAACAACTTTTACTCGGGTAATAATCTCTTAAATTAATTAAAAAGAAAATTAATCCTACATGGAAGCAAGAGCCACATAAAAAGCAACCGCTCGGGGCGGCAGCAGCCGAAGAACACAAACAGAAACCGAAATTAAAAGAAAATTTATGATCTGTGGCAGTCATTCAACAGAAACAACAATAAAAGCGACAACAATTGCGACTTGTTGGCTTGTTGTTGGAAGAAGGCAAGAGAGATGGGAAAAGCGAGAAGAGAGAAGAGAGAGAGAGACAAATCTGTAATGTTGGGAAAGTTGTATTTCTTTCTATATTGCTTTCCTCCAGCGCAGAGGCAGAAACAGAGGCAGCGGCAATTGTTGACAATAAGAAAAGTAAAAGTGCCACAAAGAGAGTGGGAGAGACAGCAGCAGCACCAGCACCAGCAGCAGCACCAGCAACACGGCCCTATGCTTGCCTCATCAAGGGTGATGATCAGCCCGCATCCAGGCCCTGGCCCATGTAATATCTCCATCCACGATGGTGGGTATACGAGCTGGTATAAGCATGCATGACCAGCTCATCATAATCATCATCACTGGCAGGAGCATTGGCAGCGGCAATGGCAGCGGCAGTCAGAGATGCGGAAACTCTGCGCTTAATTGCAATGCGAAACTCTGTGGCACAAGATTCCAGTTGTGCGAAGAGTATCTGCCAGATAGCCATCTATTGCTGCACAATGAACCACAGCAGCCGCAGCAATTTGTTGCCTTATGGATGGTGGAAAAGGGCGGCACGGCACTGGGACGGGCGTGGCACTGTGCACGCATGCATGCCACCAGTAAAATCATTTCTCCATGCTGTGGCTGCTGCGGTCGGGGGCTTACATAAGACCAACGAGGAGTATCCATAGCTGCCACAAGGAAGTAGGAAGCACCGTCACCACTACCCAAAAAAATTCAATTTTTAATCCCCAGCGGGTGCGTGGGCAGCGGGGCAACCTTCAACTTGTTGTCACTTGCAACTCCATCAACATTTTGCTTCGACTCTGGCAAAAGTATCTTCCACTCCCAACGCTCCCAAGGCACACAAGAAAATTCCTCCCCTGACCAAATCGGGCACCAAATAATCGTATTTCGTATATACTCGATCTCGCATGTTTGACTTGACAATTTTACGCAACATTTTGTTGAATGTGTTTCGTCTTTGTTGCTTGTTTCTTTTGCTGCAATTGTCACCTTGGCACGTAGGAGGAGGTCTCGTCTGTGCATGAGCGTGGGGCTCACTGTGGGCGGAGGTGGGGTAAACGTTGCGCCGAACTGTCAATGGCCTTGTCAAATACGAGTACCCCCTCGCTCGATATGTAAATAATGGTACAAAAAATACACAGAAACTGAAGAGCAGAAGAGCATTTTTTTTTTAGTTTGGGAAATATTTTCCTTAAATATTGTTAGAGAAGTTTCCAGTGGCTTGCAGCGCATGGATCCTCTCTCTCTGTGCATATTCATTAAAAATCTTCTTCCCTTGGGGAGTTTTCAGTTTCCCTAATAGTCGAGCTGCCTAGGACGGATGGGTGGGGTGTGGTGGGACGAGAATTTTAAATGGAAGGGAGTGCCAACTTGTATGATCAAAAACTGATCTCATCTCATCGCGACTCATCCACAGCCACATCCACAGGCCATACGTCAGTGTCGTGTCATCTGGATTGCCGCATAAATTTCAATCACTTGCATTCGGCATTCAGCATTCAGCATTCGGTATTCAGCATTTTAATGGGCTCTGCCACAGCCACAGCCACAGCCACTGCCACACATTTCCATTCCCATTTGATTCTCAGGCGTGTGAGCGTTGCCTTTGTGCGAGTATCACTTTAATTGCCATAAACATAAATGGCTCTGACTGCAGTTAAAAGTTAAATATTTCCACACACACACACTCTCACACACACTCTGCCGCAGCAGCAACAACATCTTGGGGCAACTTTCGCGTTTTGTTTGCTGCTTGCTGTTTGGCGTCGTGTGTGAAATTTTAATGTCGCAGTGAAATGCTCGAAAAGTGAAACTAAAGTCTAATAAATAAATGAAATTGTTTGCTATTAGCAACGCATTCAAATGCCAACTAGCGCTGGCCAGGCCACCAAGAAAACTGCTGCCTGCCTCTTCCACTGCCCCTTCCACTGCCACTGCCACCAGCTGCTAATGAAAGAGAAAGAAAAAGTGGATGGAAAAATGTTGGACAGAATTTATGCGCCTTTTTTTCTATTCATTCGTTTTTAATTTAATTAATTGTCATACGAGTACTCGTATATGTTGTATGTCCAAGTAATGTCGCTGCTGTTGCTGTTGCTGTTGGTGTTGCCATTGTGATTGTGATTTGAGCCACCGTGTGGCAAATTGGACGCGTGATTCACGACGACTCGTTTTCACAGCCAATGCCATCAATGCCACCCGAGCAGCGTCAGACAATTTAAATTATTATTAATAATTGCTTTGTTAATAACTTTAAGTGTTTTTGTGTGTCGGTTGCCGGTGCGTTTCGTCACAAATTGCCATCGACTGGAAAATATGCACACAAATATCATGAAATATTCGCTTGTGATTGATGGAAGGTTTGCCACAGCTATCGATAATTATCGATAGATGGCAGTCGGTCAAGGTCAGGCAATCGAAGCTCTCCAATCAGGTTGAAACTCTCATCTAAGGGGCAGAACTTACTCCACATTTTTAAATTAAATATTTAATGTACAAATTTTCCATAAGCGAATGGCACGATACATATATGTATGTGGGATGTGGGAAAGTCGGACATTCGTTTCCGAATGTACATATCTGAATGGCTTGCATTCATTCATTCATTTGTCCCTGTCCCTGTTCCCAGCTGCTCTCATCGCTCGCTTGATGCTCGCCTCGAGACGCAGATAAACCACATACATTCCGTGTGCATGAAGCCGAATGTTCGACTGCTCCCAAATACCAAAGATCTGTCTGGAATCAGCTGAAAAGTTCATCACTTAAGCTACTGAAAGCCGCTCACTTGATATTCGTCTGAATATGAATAGTCCTCCATCTGGAAAACACTTTCCAGTCGTAAAATTAGCTCTGTTCCTGATCCGACAGGCACGGTACCCTGGCACCGCCTGTCCCCTACCCTACCCCACCCCACCCTCCTCACCACAACGCGAGTAAATCAAAAAAAGGAAAACCTCTTGAAGCTGTTTTTGTTTTCAGTTTTCTTTTTTTGGTCTGCAGCTCTTTTAATATTTCAGTCATAGCCATAGATTTCGATGGGGCAGGCGAGGAACGGGGGCGCTGGAGAGCTACCTAATTGCGGACATGGACGCGGACATGGGCATGGATATGGACATGGACATGGGCTGTGGCTGTGGCTATAGCTGTGGCAAGCAACGCATGGAAATTGCAATTTGCTTGGCTTAGTTTTTGTTGCAGCTTTGGTTTCATTTGCACGCTGACTGACACAAGAGAGAGAGAGAGAGAGAGACAGGGGGGGAAGCGATGGCGCCATGATGTTGATGATGATGATGATGGCGATGATGAGAGCGCAAGTTCAATGACTGCTGGCTGGCTTATCCCGCTCCGTTTCGTATCGTTTCG